GTCCCAGCTACCTTTTCTTTTCTTTTTTTTTTTTTAAGCTGGCTGGTAGCTCCAATTAGAAATTTCTCCCACTAACCAAGTCAAAGGAAAGTTAGCTTTCAGCCTCTCCCTTTTACAGGGCTGGGCTGTGTGAATAGCCGTGGAGCTGGACTTTGTTCAACAGAACTGGGTGCAAATTTCTGGTGTAAGTACTCCCTCCAGGAACCTCTGCAACTGTGGAGTAGCTACTTGGACTCAGCAGCAGGGAGGCAGCAGTCTGGGGACTGTGCTGGGAAGCCAGGGAGCCTGGAAGTCCCTCTAAAGCTTCCTCCTGACCTGAACTCCACCATGACTGCTGGAGGAACAGCATGGAGGCTCTTAGGGAATCTCTCCATGACATGATTATTGCCAAAAGAAGATGGTGACAAGGGCAAGTCTGCTCCTACATAAGACAGGAGCCTGGGCTGCTGTCTTTCTTATTACAGTCCCATCTGGGAGGTCAGGAGATGAGTGGGTGCTACCTCCATTCACTGACCAGTGGAAACCAAAATATAGTCTTCAGAAAATCTCTGGCTTACTAAGAACTAAAAACAGTAAGAAACTCTCTAAGAAATACTGAGAAAAAGAATGGTTTCCAGTAGGAAATAACCTACATTTATCAGTGGATTTTTGAGGAAGTAATGCATACGCACAATATTATCACTTTTTTTCTGTATGCTGGGAAGAATCTTTTGTCTTTTTGTTTTTGAGACAGGGTCTCGTTATGTAGCCCAGTCTGCCCTTTAATGTGTGATCCCCCCTGCCTCCCGAGTGCTAGGATTACTGGCATGTGCCACCACACCAGGCTTGCTTAGAACATTGTAGTCATTCATTTCATTCTATCTTATTATTACAATTAGTAGCAAATAATAAAAAAATGATCCTAGCCGATATATATTTTAGTCATCATTTCATTTGGAGGAATTAAGGGTCACGCAGAAAATATTAAACCATAGGGCCCCATAAGCTGCTGAATCACAGTACAACCAATCATTTGCATTAAAGACATCAAAAAAGCATTACTGAAGGCACTGGTGTTCCAAAGGGAAACGAGAGAAATACATGTACAAATCACACAATTTAGTTTCGTTGCAGAAAGCTGTGGCACTGCTACTTGGTGAAATGCAAAACTACATGGGATGAGTCAACCATGCAAAGCCAAAGCAACAGCAGAAAACAAAACAAAAGCAAGTAAAGGCTCTTACTGTGCGACAAGCTCGTCAGAGTTTTCAGCGGGGCAGTATTTGCGAGGACGGCCTCGTTGAATATGGCGGCCACGTATAAACTCTTCATCATCAACTGTCCAAAAGGACCCAAACTCATCCTCTACTCTGATAAAGCACTTATGCAGTGAGAGGTTGGTGCGAATGGCACCCTGGGATAGGAGCAGCAGCAAAGAGGATGAAGTGGCAACAAAAGGAGACGGGGTTGGGGGCAGAACAGACATTCAATACAGGGAACAGGAGAAAGAAAATAAAATGCAATAAGCATAAGCCAATGGTTTGTGAGGGTTAATATGCATTGCCACCTAGAAGCTACTAGCATGGGATGCAACAAAGACCAGCAAGCAGGGCAGGGGACTGGTGGGTATACAAAACAGGAGGAATGAAATGCTTTTTTGGTTCCCTTAACTGAGACAACGTGAAACCAGTTCTTTGGTCTAACACCGTCTAGCAGCCAGAGCTTCTACGTTACACTTGTTAGCACAATCCAAGCTAGGCTAAGAAGTTCAAACATGGTGGACGTACCCACTGATCTTTTGTGGCCTTCGTTTTTGGAATTCTACTTCATCCACTGTCCATACTGCCCCTTTAACGTTTTCTACTCGCACAAAACACTTGTGAAGACTAAGATTATGACGCACTGCATTCTGCAGCAAGTATAAAAGAGAGAACATTTACATTTTCTATAAGAAAAGTCTCTAAAAACAGCAGTACATTCAGCCTAACATTTGTAAAACCATCCCCCAGAACTGCAGCTGCCACCCACCGTGAAGGACCTTGTTGTGCTTGAGAGTGTTTCTTCTAACAAACACCCAAAATTAGGAATTAGTTGTACTTTGGCATTTTAGTCTACTTTCTGGTAATATCTAACCAGAAGAAATACTTGTAACATGCATACAAGCTCAGAATAGGTTCCACAAATACAACCTTGAGAATGTTGTTAATATGGTTTTAAAATAAGGAAATAAATAAAGTACACAATTCTCTTTAAACCCATCTACCTCTCATTTTTAAAAGGGTAGTTTATGTTTAATATGTAATAAGTAGTTAATATTGTTACATATATATCAGTATCTGGCCTTAAAAACATCCACAGGTTTTATTAAGGAGAATTCTAAATAGGATTTACCATTGAGAATAGAACCTTGTATAACCAAGAAGATTGGGGGTGGACTAAGCCCAAGGGAACAGTATCTACCATCAAGGTACGCTTTATCTTCTGGAAAATATATAAATGTTTTTATACACATATATGTTACGTTGCTAGGAACAAGTACCTTAGTTAACTGAATAAATCAAGGAACACAAGAGTAGGACTCTCAATGGCAAAAATGACTATATTTCTGCAATTGATGGTTTGGTTCCACAGAAATACGTTTTCTTTTTGTGTGTTTAAAAGTCCACTGCTGGCTGTTCCGAGGTTGAGACTCTTTACATCAATAATATACCAAAAAGTAGGCTCTCGATTCAAGAGTGAAGAGTTTTTAACATCTCAGTTTTCCTTTGACTTTTAGGAAAACCTACAAGCCTTACTGGGTACACAAACAAGTATGCTTCATTGCTTTACAGTTGCCTGGTTTGAACTTACTGATCCAGGCTCAATGTTGGGGACAAGAGTATTACAAAGAGTCTCATACTACTTCCTACAGAGTTTCTTCACACATGGAATAGGTGAGCCAACTGTGACACAAAAAATTGATGCATACATTGAACCTCACATACCGTACAGGTCAGCCCTATTTAATTCCACGAACAGTGTTATTTGTTCCAGATGTGCTGTACCATTCCCCCTCTACCACCTATGGTATTTGCTGTCATGGTGGCAAATCTTGATAGTGTGGGAGATCTTTCAATTTTTGGACAATCATGATGGATGGTTATAAGGATTTGGGCTACATAATTTTTCTTCTGTTTCATGGAATATTTAGAAGATAATGAGGAGTTTTATTAGGATGAATTCTCAATGAGTTTTTGAGTCATAACTGGGGAAGGTTCACAATATTCAATATTCAAAAAATAATTTGATGGCACAGTTACACTTGGGGGACAAATTTCATTGCCTATAAACTGTAGCCTAATCTTTCAGTAAGTCATTTGTTTTTTGTCTTGCACAAAGGCATAGTATAAGATGCTGAAGGTCTGTTATTCTCTCTGAGGACATATAAAGAAAAACTCAAACTTCCTTTAAAAAAATCCAAGCAGAGCATGTATACATAAGGATTTCTTTTCCAGCTCTCTCTCCTCTATCAGTTCTAGTTATTGTGTGATGTTGCACAGTAAGTATCAAAATGTCCACAACGTGAAAGAGCTAAGAAGCTACCTCTGCTAAAAGGCTGCTCTGTATTTTCCTGGGTTCTACATGTAAACAAAAAGTAACTAGAAATTAAGAGCTTTCCAAAAAGATGAGGGAGCTCTCTTCACTTATAACTTTAACTGGACATTTCATCTTTTGTCTGAGATTACAGCAACAACAAGGACACGTAGAGGAAATTATCCGTATTTATGAATCAGTAAGTACTTCATCCAGGGTTGTTTATAAGAATGACACATTTTCCTGTGCCTTTCAAAAATGAAAAAGTTACACCTGAAGATATGAGCTGAAATTTATATTCACAGCTAGTAATTAGTTTGAAATCAGATCATTTGGTTTTTATAAAAGGCAATTTGAAGAAAATGTCTGCTTCATGCTTCCACTTCCTAAATTTTTAAAAGCACTTGTAGTTAAAAAATCCTTGAAATTTCATCTCCCCAGCAGGCTGAGGAAAAGACACTAAGACTTTGAATCTTCAGTGCCCCCCCACCTCACCACATGACTAATGAATTAATTCAACAGTTGTATTTGTTTTCTTGTAGAATGCTAATTTATCATAAACTTAACAGAGGATATGCATTTTGTTTTCTTCAGATCCTGTAATAAATATCTCTCTATTGTGACTAATGATACATAAAAATCCTGAAACATTGCATTAAGTACTAATAAATATTCTGTATTGTAAGAATTCCAGGTAGTAATAATGCAAAAATCTCTATGTCAGTGGGTTCCTTCCCTCTCCTATAAACAAAAGTAATAGACATCAGGAAACTGAAATTGGGAACCTGAAAAACTTTGCAAGACCTTAATCTTAGTGAAATTTCTAAACCAAACTGGTAGACTGGGCATGAGGTGTGTCCCATGACCCCAAGCACCCAACACAAAGCTATGGAAATTGACCTGTTTTATAGCAAATGGTGTTAGAGTTAGGTTTCCTAACTCAGAAGGTACTTTTCTTTCTCAGGGTAGTCATGTGAACCTGTGCAGGGCAATCCCTGGAATTAAAAACCAAATAAAAACAAAACAGATTTAATAATACACTGTCTTCGGGAACAAGTGCCCATTTACTGCACTAAATATATGGATGGTGCAGCTCTCCCCACTAATGGGGTTGATGAGCTCTGGTCCAACCAGTGAAGGTCATGTTCAGTTTGATCGGTTCTGCGGGTTCCCAATGGTGAAAAAACAAGGTATCGCTGCAAATGCTGGTGTAAACGCCTAACAGTGTGAGGTTTGTGTAAGTCACAGGACAACCTCAGTGTTTGGGCAATAGCATCTTTTCCTTCCCTGACCTATTCCAACCAGAGAGGAGTTAGTTCCCTGGCTGGCCCTTCCGCACCTCTGTTGCCAATGTGACAGGATTCTTCAACCAAAATGGAAACTGCTTCCCCATCAAATATAGATGCCCAATATGGATTGGACACTTTGAGTATACCAAAACAATATAGATATGGCTTTCTTCTAGCCCAGCAATTGCATTTTATTGATAACCATCTCTGTTCTAAAAGGGATAAAAAAAAAAAAAATCCAAGACTAACCAGGCCCGAGAAAAAGCTTACCTTCCACGTGGCTGCATTGCGTCGGAAGTAAGCGAACATTCGTGTGAACCAGTTATAGATTTCATTTAGTGTTAGCTGCTTTTCTGGAGATTCAAGAATGGCCTGTGAAGCAAGAAGGTATCAGAAGAAGATAACTGATGACCAAATCAGCAGAATCATCACTATACAGTTTGTTAAAAATATAAAATAACTGTGATTCAGAGGCTCGATCCTAAGAAAGGTTTCGCAAAAAAACGATCTAAGATTAATGGTTGTATTTAACAGTTCAATAGCAAAACTCGAAATGGAATTATCTAATTGTTTTGAGTTTTTATTTCTGTTTCCGTACAGAAATATTAATTTATTAGTCATTCATAAAGCAGAATCAAAGAGAAATGCAAAACATTTCAGTAGCTGATTAAAGCTCAGTAATTATTTAGAGCTCAGATTAATTCTAGGGATCAGAGATTACTGTAGCTTGTGATAATTGACTTGCCATCTTTAAACAGGCTCATTTTCACTGTTGTGTGAAATGAATTTCCTAATAATCACATCGTATTGTAATACTTTATCAAAAGCAATTATGTTATATATTGCAGTTTTAAAAAACCTTATAGAAAAGGTTTCGGCATACATACTAAATGGTTTTAAATCTACTTCATCCATATGTTATATCCACATGCACCTTTTGATGTAATTTCACAGACTGTTATTTACTTACCTGCCTAATTAAAGATGCATATGTAAATGGTGGTCTAACTTCTGCGTTCTTATAAAATTCTTGGTTCTGCGCAATATCTGCTAAATAAGAATCATTGTCCTATTAATTATCACTTTTTAAAAAGGGGCTGATCGACAAGAATTGCACGCTAGAATGCTACACGAGGCATGAATGGAGAAGTTACCTGAAGAAATGGGCACGTTATATTTGTCTGAGTACCGCCTGCGGATGGGTCCCACTGTGTGCATGTTGGTGGTGGTGATGACAGAGGGGCCTTGGGTGACGGGGGTCAGGGGAGCGGTTGGGGTCGTTGGAGTATGAGGTAAGCTCTGTGGAGAAGCCTCGGATGCCGACTTGGAGAGTGTGACACTTGACACCAGATTCAGCTATGGGGAAAAGAACACAGCTTAGGAGACCTTCAGAAAAACAAAGCAACCAACAAAGTATCTCCCGGCCCCCAGGAGTGATCCAGGGAAGGCACGCCTGGTGAGTGTTCTTTCTCTAAGTGGATGTGTTTATAAACGATTTGCTTAGGATTTAGTGCAACGTTCTCCTTTCTCTTCCATGAGACAGGCATTTTCCAAAGTCTGCCAGATGGATGTTTACAGATGCAAAATGGGATCATTTTAGCCCAGTGAGTTTGAGAGAAACTGGGTGAAGACACTTCTTTTAGCCCAATGTCTCACTATTTCATGGCCCAGTATGCTTTGTAAGTCTCAAGGAGAGAGAGAAGTCCCCAGCAGCACTAGTGAGGAGGAGTATAGGCACACCAGTCCTGACACATTGGTAGAGACCTGGGCTGGCCCACAGAGCTTTGTGCAGTGAGGAGCTGTGCTTACTTAATTTTAATAATTTAAACTTAAATGGCCCCATATGGCTAGCAGCAACCACAGGGGCCAGTAAGAAGACAGGCTACCCAAGTCCTACGTTGAAACTGTTGGGATGCTAGGAATCCCTCCAGGTGCTGGGCCTGCGCTCACAGTGAAGTCTGGTACTCATGCAGTGAGCCATCATGTATTTCGATCAGTTGGCAGAGATGACTTTTTTAAATACAGGACTGGGATCTATTAATTTAAGAAGAAAACAGCGTATGAGAACTGAAGAACTGAATGATTTCTTTTTGTTGATTTTTGAACATTCCGTGAAAGTGAAATAATCTACCACTTCAAGGAAGGGAGTATTATTTATTTGAAGTAGTATTCTGATTTACTATCTATCTATCTTACCTTAACCTTAGACTGCTGTTCTTATAAATAGTGGAAGGGCCAGCCCTTCTCCAAAATTTATTGAAACAGAAACTGCGTTTTCAGCCTGTTTATTGCTTTTTATACAGAATTGCTGTCTGAGATATACAGTCTCTCTGAATCCATGAAACTTTGACAAAGCACTCTTGGATGGTAACATTTTCTTAAACCAGATTTCAAATCCCATTTTACCTTAAGAAGTCTATTTTGCCATCAGTAGAATCAACCTTAAGCACAAGGGACGATTTGTGGAAGGAACTGAAAAGAAAGAGTCTTCTGAGATCATACCCAAAGAGCATATTGACAGAAAGTTCCAGTGTGTGGGGAAGAATCAACTTTTACTCACATGTTAGATGTGGAAAAAGGCCATGAAAATCCTGCCTGTCTAGTGAGTTCCAAGGGAAGAAAAAGATCCAATATTGTTGAAACAGTGACAGAAAAATGAAAACTGGATGTTGCAAGATAAATGTTGGGCTGAGAGACTTCACTTCTGCTTTCCTATTTCCACCTTGGATGGTTGACTCAGCACACTACGGACACCCCACCCCCATGAAGGTCAAGCTAGGGAGATGGTACTGCCTCACTGCCACCCAGGGCAGATGGGGTGAGCTGCCCTGCCGACAGCACTGGAAACGTGGCGAGATGCATTTGTAAACCAAGTACTAACAGTTCAGAGTAGCAGCCAAGGGCCTGGGCAGAGCTGAGATGCCCAGTGGAGAAGAGTGGTGGGCTAACCTCTTCTTCACCTTAGACCTTAATCACTGACCAGCGTCAGTGACTCATGAAACAAAGCAAGGGGTCAAGGGAATTAGCGTAGAAAGCTCAGAAATGCATAGCCTTTTAATTCAGATGCTGCAAAGCCAAAGAGTTTCAGAACATCATGGAAAGTCACAGATAACATTCGCTAAAACACCTGCCTATGCGCCTTCATTTGATTCCCACACGGCCAGTAATATCTGAGATGGTGTTAGTCATGTATCACAGAAAATGAAGCTCAGGCTCAGAGAGATGAAATTACTTGTCCACATTCCCTACCTGACCCAAAGTTAAACCACACACTTGTATGATTCTAGACTTTTGTACAATCTTGTGCCTATTGGTTAGAATAAACACTAATCAGTTTCACTTTCCTCTTATGCTCAGTTTCAGAAAAGATTTAGTGAACAGTTTTTATTCCTGCTTATAAATGGGGTTCCCTAAATATCACCAAGCGTCTATTAAAGGGTTGGCAACAGGAGCAAACCACGTAACTGCTGCCCTCAAAGTACTTGTCATCAAGCAAGTACAGACACAGGTCATAGGTAAATGCACACAAAAACCAGGCAATGATTCTGGGGACTCACTCTAATTCTTGGCTTCTCCTTTTGGCGTAAGACCATTATCCCAAACACAGGGACATTCACAGAAACATAAGAAAAATTATGAACACAAATGTCCTTAAGTCAACTGGGCCCTATTATCCAAACCGAAAACTCATCTAGGAAGCTCATCCTTTGGGATGCTCACATCTAAGAAGGGTAGACAAACTCTACTTGGTGACATGTCATCAAATATGAAAAGAATGGGACTTGCAGCTTTTGCAAAGGTCTTAATGCTTGGACCACTTCTACCAAGCGAGCCACAATGAACAATCAAATCCAGGTTAGCACAATCCCCAAAGAAAGTCTTCTGGATCCTTTTGGATCTAGGTAGCAAGGAGAAATAAACACCAAGCCAAGAGGGAGCAGAGAAGGATTTACCAGGCTTGACAAATGACACTGTGATTCACACCCACTGCTGGGCTGTCTCTAATAAGCCACAGAGGAAGCAGCCAATCTCAGCTAATTACCAGATAAAAATGTATTGTAAGGACTCTAATTAGGAGACACGGATGGAGGTGATCTGATGATTAAATGCTGCATTCGGGTGACCCCACCATCAACGTGCAGTGGTCTAAGATGTCACTGGAATATTTTGTAGAAACAGTCATTTTATTTCAAGGAGGGGAGGCAGTAATATTTGTAATGATGGCTATGAGGTAAACTAATTAAAAGACGGTTCCTAGAGGAAGAGGGTGGCTGAGAGCAGCTGTGGCCATTCCAAACCCAAGTGGCAAGTCTCAATAGAGGAGCTGCAGTCAAGCGGAAAATTTCTGCCTGACCTCTGCCCTTGCTATTAATTTGCAGGAAAACTAATGACACATATACATATTCCCACAAAACTGTTCTAATTGCTAATTTGCCAAAGGAGCCCAGATTCCAAATTAAACATGACTGTAGTCTGGGAGGGAAGGAAGAACAAAAAAGCTGGAAACTCCAAACAGAGGATGCTTTGCCACGCAGAAGCCTTGGAAGGCTGAACCAACAAGTTAATGAAATGTCAATCCTGTCAGCTGCTATACAAGTTGCTTAACTTTTAAACTTTTGTTTGATCACATGCTTGTCTTGAGGAGAAACCATCTTCACAAGGGGCAGGGGTAGGGTGGGGTGGGGTGGGGGTGAGGGAGGAGAAGACTGAGCGCCAGGAAGGATTCAAAACAGACTGCATTCAAACCAAACCTGTTTCTTTCAATTAAGGTCTTTCTGGGAACAAAAGGGGAAAAAAAAGTGCACACACAAAACAAAACAACCCCACAGACTTAGAACAGAAGAGCAAATTGGGACTGGTGTGGGTTTTGTTGGAATCTTAAAATATTCATCTTAATTGTAAACAATTAAATCTTAGTACTCTCATCAATTAGGAATGAAAACACCCGTGTTTCATATTTCTGATGGTAGTTAAGGTTTTAAAGGAAATTTTTTTTTTTATGGGGCATGGAGCAGGAAGGGATTGGACTGGGAGGGTTTCTTTTCCTGATGGAAAGCCCATTTTTCTCATTGTGTTCATTTTTCTATTTAGAAAGAAGTTGCTATGTTTAGAAAAGTTAGTAAGTCACATTAGTCTACATGGCAAGTTTCCATCATGTCATGATTTCAGCAAAGAAAATCTTTGAAATTCTGGCCCAAAGCTAAATTTTTATGTCACTTTAAATTGCTGTTGGTTTATTTATTTATTAATAAAAACACAAATAATTGCATTCTCAAGCATCGTCTTGGTTACAGATAGACCATCCTGGAAGTCTTTGCCATTGAAACTACTCTAACTCTATCTATCGACTGTCCAATGTTGTACTTTGTCCTTTTTTAAAAGATTAGTTTTTAAAACAGTCCACACCCCTTCCATGGAAAGGTGATGAGTCACTTGCATTTTTTAAAAAAATAAACAAACCGCTGATGTAAACCCCAGACAGAGACAGACTTGTACTGAGTATTCCCACAAGAACCCATTTTTGTTTTTGTTTGTGCTCTTGCCTCACAAGAAAACAGATTCTGAGAACAAAAGACAAACCTGAAACCAAAACACCAAGGGCCAGGCCAGCACTGCAGAGCAGGGGCTCTGAGGCTCACAGAACTGGTTTTTCTGCAGTCTGCTTTATTGGCCTGAGTGGTTCAAGTCCTGCTTGAACTGCATTGCGGAGGAGGAGGCTGGGTTTCTAGGCATGAATCACTGAGTTCAGAGCCCTACAGGATGGACCTGCCAGTCCTTAGGGAGGGCAGGACACTGGGTAGCATTTAGCTTCCCTTCAGTGTCTCAGCCTGGTCCTACATTAGAGATTTAGAAGATGGCAGCAATACCAGCACCAACTAAACGTGAGTTGAGGTGAGGCAGGGGAACTTAATGAGAAGCAGTCTATGAAATGGCTTTTCCGTGCTGTGCCTGACAATCCCTTCTAATGATGGCCTGACTTGAGTTCTCTAGCTCCAAAACAAGGCCCCAAGCAGCCCCACATGGTTAGCTATTCCTTGAAGAGAGTTAACAGTCTCTTTCTTTTGTGGGGGGGAGCACTTTGTTTTTATAGTGGCTAAAAGCTACTTCAGAACAGTCCTAATTGCCATGGTTAGAGTAAAAGAAAAATGTGTGAAAAGGAAAACCTAATGCTGCATTTCATTCCCAATGTGCTTTATGGTATTTTCATAAAGAAGGCGCTACTACCTATACTGTAATTACTTGCCCACCAAATCTGAAAAGAATGTGGTTTTTCCAGGATGGGGAGTGCTTCTTACAAGGGCAGGAATACCCTATAGCAAAGGAACCTCTCCTGCTCTCAGATTATAAGACTTAAGAGGGTTCTCAGATTATAAGACTTAAATGGCAATGGCGATTTTTAAAGAAATCCTTAACAAGTCAATACAGTTATAACAGACACATTGCTTTTTTGTTGTTGTTTTGTGTCCTAGGAAATATCTCAGCCAATTCTTCATGGAGAGAGCACAGGCATGGTAACACCCAAACAATACACTGTGCTGCTCACTTTGGGACCGTGACTGGGTGGTCATTCACCAGTACTAGGCCTCTTCTTTACTTGCTATTCTCTTTCAGTGTGAAAGAGGAGACTCTTTAAAAAAAAAAAAACTACAGCAAACTTGGCTATTCTAAACATCTGTCAAAAAATGGCCCTTGCGCTCCTGGTATCTAAGTTAGAACTTGAAGCTGCTCTGGTCAATTTTCATAGATACTTTTCTGTGCAGGGCCAGCCTAAACACTACAAGGTAGGAAAAGCTCACTGTAGGTGAGGTTGGCTAGTCTTCTTACCCCACGCTTCCTCACCCATCTCCAGAGACACACAGATCTCCTCACTAGAGAAAACATCCAGAAAGCTGAACACTTTTTAGCTTTCAGTTGAGGCATCAGTTCTTCAACAGGTTACTTCGTCACTTTATTTCTTAGTTTGGTCCACAACACTCCAGAAACCTCCATAGCAAAGATGGGTCTTTTCACTTGATTACTCTACATTTAGCATGTAGCGTACTCCATAAATACTTGTTGATGGAAGAGTTTGATTTTAAATGCAGGAATTCCCATTCCAAACATAACCTGCACTTTGAGTCTTGTTTTTTTTTTAGAAGGATGACAAGCTACCGAAGGAGTCAGCAGGACAGGAAGCCTGGGAACTGATGTTCCAGTGGAGCCTATACCCTGGGGCACTGTCCCCAGATGAGTATACCCTCTAACTATCCAAGTGTGAAACGAGCCTCACGCTGGGATCCAGAAAATGCATCTCTGAGCTGATGTAAGAACCATCTGAGAACATGTTGGCAGCCTCTTTGATGTGATGAGGCCGGGACGGGTTGGATGATTGGATAAAACAAAAGACAGTTACCACCCAAATAGCATTTAGTGAAGGGTAACATTTACAGCAAAGCATTCTATCACTTAGTGACTAAGAATTTTTAAATAAACACAAAGTTCCTTTTACACAGAAATGGAAAAAAGAAACAACTTCATAAACTCACTGGCAAGGTTATAGCATGAAAGTCCCCATCTAGGGTTACATTTGAATCCCAGTGCTTGCTTGTTTCAAACCACAGTTTCTAGAAGAATACTCATACACTAAGCAGTCTGTTATTTAGGGTAGAATAAATTAATTACAGGCTGTAGAGAATATTTTGCACATTAGGATCAGTCACCTGACAGCTCCGGTCCCTCAAGTTGAAAGCATCAAGGGTTTGCAATATATGCGCGCTTTCTCTTTTTTTTTTTTTTTTTTTGCCAAGGAAGTGAAAATTTATGCAAAACATTACAGTCTATCTTTTATAATTAATTTTCCAATGCCTCACCTATACATATTTTAATAATTCCTGATTTATAAGATGGTATCTATAATAAAATTTTCTATTTTCCAATAAATGAAAAGAAGGCAGGTTCACTCCAACAACAGTGTCACACAATATCTGCTTGTCAGGCACCAATTTTTACTTCTTACATGTAAGTTAAAGGATAAGGAATTTATAATGCTGCCTGTGAAGGGAACCACTTTTCATACACAAATGTGATCTTTTTTTTTTTTTAAAGGGTAATACAACAGTACATTTACATAAACTAATCCAAACAATCTATGTATTTGACAATGGCAAACCTCACACAGACGGCCTATTGTTGGTTTACATCTTGGAGTTCTTTATACTGGCTTGTAGCACTGCTCTAGCTGTCAAAGGTTTGACTTGGACGCTAAATAAATGGTTATAGAAGTACTGTGCAGTGATATTGGAGTTCTCTGCAAAAGAAAACCTGCTGTGTATGAATTCAAAAGCTATTAATTTTTCAGTCAAAAATATTCGTGCCTATTTCTTTTAATAAAGAAATACTGTGCTGAGCTACTAAGAGATAATGTTGACTAGTGGTAGAGAATTTTCAATAGAGCAGTTAAAAATAAATTTAGTAGGAGGTCCCCTTCAAAGTTATAATTTTCTAGAATGTAAAACATTTTTTCAATACTAATCAAGACAAACCTTTCTTCCCCCCTACAGCCGCTTTTCCCTGTTTACTGGCTGCTTAACACTGGTCCACTTGAAGCTTCTCAATGGTCCTCTTGTGGCCATGTGGACTTACATATATGGTGACACCTAGCCCCATCACTTGTTGAGTGCCCTAGGGAGGGTTTGCAGTTTCTTCTCTTTAGTCTGATGTCTCCATCCCCCCAAGGAACCCCATGATCCAAAACAGGTCCGTTATTGGAGTGTTGAGTCTGACCATTATTCTACTTCATGGAGGGACAGGAGGTAACCTCATTCTCTCCCTTGTTGGCAGATGTAAAGACTCAAACCCTCATCCATCTGAAGACTTTCAGAGAGTTCCAAGGTAGTCACAGCCCTTTGCATTTGCCTGTATCTGTTCTACAAGTCAGCTATGTCATTTCAGGGCTCACCAGTTTGCTTAGTGGGTCCCTGTTCTCTCCCAGTATCCTCCTTAAAATAAGGGGTTGGTAGCAACAGCACAGTTCATGACTGAAACCAACACACTGAACAGCATGGTTCATTTTCTCCTCCCTTTCTTTTTGGGAGCCTACCCATCCAGTCCTACAGCCATTTACTGTGAAATACATGGAAACTAAGGACTCTTGCCTAGTAAAAATGGATGCGCGAAGTGTTTAATGATTTTATGTCCTATATCTCGGTAATGTGTTCTGTTTCAGACATTAATTTTGTCTGCCAACTGCATCTTGGCAGGCTACCATATTTGCTGGGTTAATAGTCTGACTCCGTTTTATTTCTATCACCATAAATCATACATATATGGGTGTATGTTTGCTTTATTTATAGAAAAAAATCAGTCAAAACAGATAAACCAATACTTTGCCATTATGCTGCATCATTGCATATTGATTAAAATTGCTGGTACTAACTATAGATTGTCAACGCTCAATTAATTTTCACACAGTGACTCCCAGCAAAATCAAATAAAGGCAGTGTACCTTTAAATTTTACAAATCTTAAAATCAAGAAGCAAAGCGCTGTCTCCATTTTGAATAATCAGCTAAAGCTACTAAGAGAGTTTTTAGAGATATAAGTATATGAGTGATACAAAGGCTAAAGAGATCAATTTATTATAAGGAACAAGTTCCATGTCTGGATGTGGGGTTTAGGTTCCCTCTGCTTTGATATTAATTCCTGTGCTGGAGTGACATACTTCAAGGTCCAGTAAAAGAGAACAAGGCAAGAAATAGAAGATTCCTAAAAATTAGATGTGATACCAGTGTACCATGTTGTATCTCTTTAACTGTGAAAGAGTACTTTTCACTTCAGAGTCCTTAGTAATCACCCAGTCTTCTACGTAATTTAGTCTCTCTTAACAATTCCAACAGGGAGCTTCCTATTTCCTTTCTCTGTTACAATTAGGCAGGACCGTTCCCTGCTTCTTTTCTCACATACCACTGTCTCTTGGCTGATCCAGACTAAAAGGACTTGGTCTTCTGCTACCCTGGTCTGGTGTTCCTGGCATTTAGAAAGATTTCCTTTTCCCAGTGAGATGGGGTTTGAGTACACTGGTTAGCACCAATTGTTCTGTTCCAAAGAAGAGCTGGTTGCTTGGGCCTCACGTCAGATTCACCCTTTGTCTCCCTACCTGCTACCAACATCAAAGAGAAGCAGAAAGACTCAGGAGAATTTAGGGCTTTTTGCACTCCAAGACTATTCTCCTCACACGCGGGGTGGGTTGGGGAGGCAGAAAAGAACTACTGTAAGTTTGTTTTGCTTTTCCCCATGGGGAGGATCAGTACTTACGGGCTGAGGGGCAGCTTTGGGTTCTGTAGATTTCACGTGCAGGTGGGTCATCATGGCTTGCAGGCGCTCTTTGTCTTTTGCAAGCTAGTGGGGAAAGAAAAAAGGCTTCGTCATTTCTTTGAATACAGAAGCATAACTATTTTAACACCTAAAATTATACATATTCCAAATAGCTATGGCACCATAAGCATATGACAAAATCATTTTCATTGCTTAATCGTCTTTGAAATCTATAGGACTACTGCCAAACTCCAGCTAGCTGGAGGTGTTGGTGTGAGATTTCTCAACACAAGATGCATTAGACTTTAAATGGGAAGTTCTAGACCTGCCGGCACCAAGGAGTCCCGTGGAACAAGGACAGCTCAAAGACAAACGTGAATCATGCCCATTAACCAGCCTTATTCATGAAGAGGCCAAAGGAAAATGAGCTAGCTAGCTAACTCAAACTCATAAATTCATCTGTTGTGGTTGTGGAGAAATACCTAGAGAGATGCATATACTTGTGCAAAGTGAGCTTCCTCTTTCTTAACAGGTGGGCATAGATAAAGACAGTGCTGATAGGTGACACTAGCAGGCAGGGAGGAGCGGGGTTGATGGGCTCCCATCTTCAAATGAATAAAGAGTAAGTTTGTTCATTTACTCTGCAGCTAAGTACCTGCTATGTGTTATCTAAAATATTTAACAATTCAAGTACCTACATCTGGTAAAGTTTGGATGGAAACAGTAGGCACTCATATACTACTTATTAGATACTATAATCTTTGTGCTTGTCTTAGAGTGTTTTAACATGATGATAATTTATTATCACAAGACAGTTGGGCACAAGGGACAGAGAACGATGACTACTGGAAAAGGAGTGGGAAATGAATCCCCAAAAGCTATAGTTAAGGGAACAGCTATGGCAGTGTTGGAAAAATATAGAAGAGATTAATGGGGGGGGGGAGAGAGTGTGAAACAATGAATATGAATGAATATATGTATGTAAGTATGTACGTGTAAATATATGTATACAGATTTATTTCAGTACTTTTATACAACCTTTGTCCAAAATAATGCCTGAGAATTAGAGGGACCCATTCCTTCCGTATCACATAGGTCTCCTTAAACTGTTTAAAAAGATAATTTTAGAGCTCTAAAATTATTTCAAAATTGAATATGCTTCACATTTCTTTAATAGCATTATTTTCTGAAGGGGTAGAGGAAGGCAGAGAAAAGAGAAAAGGAATAAAGGGACAGAGAAGCAGCTTTTGGCTTGTCCTCACTGGATGACTCAGTCGGCAAGCCATATCACATTTGACTTTTTTTTTTTTTTTTTAATGTCTTTTTATTCCCTTGTGGTTCAGGGAAGAATTAAGAAGAAGAAAAGCCTTACAGTGTTGCATTTATCTTTCAACAAACAGGAAATGAAAATGATACCATATTAGGAGCCACTCTACGTTGTTTGTCCTCTGTTCTTTAGTAAGTTATTGAACTGCCAAAGTGGAAGATTCTCTGAACACATAATGCTAAAGGAATTTGGTTTTCCAAAGTAGCTCAGTTAGAACAATTAAAATGTTGGGAATGTCGTTTTTCTACAGTTAATTTGATTTTTAAAAAATGTTGTGTTCTAAGATTTTTGGTGTGAAAACTAAAATATTCCTAGATGTTAAAAAGTTTGGTTTAAAAACTGTCATAGGGCAAAAAGAATGAGGGTGTAGATGTCACTCAAAAACGTGCTGAACAATAACACAAATTAAAGGGTAAAAGGTGATATTTACTGAAGAGTCTGCTGAATATGAAATGGGACTTAATTTGGGGGTAAACATTGTTCATGCAGCAATTGTAAACACTGTAAACTGCTGTAAGTTTAGTAAAAAGAAAATCTAAATGCCCAGGATCAAAAGGAATCACCTCCTTGTCATTCCATCCAACTATCCAATGCGCTGAGGTACAATGGTAACAGTGTGCTGCAAACACCTAGACTGGGTACACACAGCCACATCCACAACCCTTGAGGTAATGGTAAGGACCGCAGGAAATCTTTTCTTGCTTTTCTCTGAGGACATAAAATTCATCATCCTATCATCATCCCAGGAACTTCGATTCTACCATGCTAATTCTGATTTTTCAAATATGGGTAAAATGACCTAAAAAGGTAAATATCCAGCTTTTCTTTTCTTTGCAGTGCAAACTGACATATTAGGCATTTAATCAATTATGGCCCTAATGGCAAACTGTTTTAACACTTAAGGGAAAACTCTTGCCAAATTCACTTTTTGCTTTTCTAAGGCAAAAAGAAAAAAAAAAAAAAGGTGAAACCTTCACACCTATTGAAACCACTTCCTCTCTCTATAGTGGCTGTCTTGCTTTTGTAAGACTCACGGGCCCTTCACAAAGCTTTCACATTCTTTATTACTTTTTAATGCCATCATTCCATGAGCTCACCATCTCATCAATTTTGCCAACACTTTTCATTATTATGAGAGGACAAACATTTTATATGAACAAGTATATATCCCAGCATTCCCTCTTAAACTGTGAGTTTCATGAAAAGCCAAGAAAAGGAGGCAAAAAAATTCAATCCAAACTAAAAATCTGGCTGGCAAATTTAAAAATTTTTAATGTTGTGATATCCAAAGGGAATTGCCCTATAAAAGCCTTCATGGTGGGCAGGGAACGATGGTGTGACATGACAACAGGTTACACTTTAGAGGGAGCTGCTTGGGCAAGGGTTATTTTCATTAGCAAGTTTGTGCACCAATCCTGTGCAAACGATGGCAGAATGGACATGACGAAGGTCAAAGGCACGGCCATCCTGTGGTGCTGGGTTCAAATTCTGGCTTGGTGACTCTAAGCACATTATGTAACCCTTTTAAAGAATTTCATCTCCCCTTCTAAATATGGAATAATCATCTCTGAACTCTGAAGGGTTGTTCTGAAGAGGAGATGAGTTTTGCACAGAACAAGTTCAGCACAGCAATTAATGTTTCATGGGTGTTTAAAAATATCTACTTCTTCTCCCCCCCCCCCATCTAAAGAGAACTTAAATCAGTCTAGTCTAGACTGAGTAAGTATGTGTTTAGAATCTGGGATCTACCTAACAGGATTCAACGGGGTATACAGTTGGGCTAACTGGGAAGAGAAATAATTTCAGTGTTATAATGAATGGCACAGGACCAAAAGCATGGGAAAGATGAAGCCCATTTCTCTAGGATTTATCTCTTTGGTTCTTACTGTAGCTTCCCCTCAACCTGGGCAAATGTTTTCCCCCTTTGGCTGACACAGGTCATCCCCTATTGTACTAGCCATAGCCTCAAATTAGGTTTTAGATTGGCCCAGCTGATGAACAATCAGAGCTTGCCCACTGCTCCATAGCAGTGATGACTGTGGAGGGAGAAGAGCCCTGTTAGCCTTCTTCAGAGATAAAAATGAAGGAGATGAAACTCATTCTTTTGGCAGAGAAGAGGGGACATGGTTTGGGGTTCATTTCCCATCTTTATTCTACATGTTGGCAGGAGGACCAATCATGGTAAAGCCAATCTGGCAGTGCTCACCAGTGAGAAACCAAACTGCTGAAATGAAGGGAGGGCCTTCTATGTGCAATGCTACAATTATTAGGGACAGGGAAAAAGAAGGGGTCATGGGACTCATTTGGTTTAGCAGAGGTGAAAGACTGTTGTGGCTATTTTGGGTCTTCTAGTCCTTCTGTTTTATGGATGGAAAAACTGAGGCTTGTGGGATGAATGGGTCTGAGGTCACAGAGCTGACAAGGGGCAGTCCTGGTCTTACTAGGGTCCTGGTTTACGATGCTTGCTCTCAGTTTCCTATCATGCTGTGATCATAAGACCCGTCTGGAACAACTATAAAACAAAGCTCTTCTTCCTCTTTGACCCCACCCCTACCTACACTGCAGAATCCCTGGGGGAGGAGCAGGGAAGTACAATTTTAATAGGCACTCAATTTAGGAATGGGCAAGTCTGAATGATCCCTGCCAATCTGCCTGGGGTCTCACCTAACCCTGCTGAAGTGAACCCTTCAAGGAAGGGATGTGGAAGTAGCTGTTTTAATAAGGACTAGCGTGTCCATGTTAAATCAGGTAAGTCTGGGAGACAGTTGTTGTCTGCCATGGACTGACTGTGCCTTAAGCAGTGGCTGATTCATTTCTTCTGCAAGTTTTGTGGCCTGTGATGATCTAAACAGGTTAGCCTGACTGAAGCAGAGTCTACACAGTTACTGAGGCAGGGGAGATCCAGAAATGCAGGTTGCCAAAGCATATATAATCCAAAGAGAAAAGGGGAAAAACCACACACACAGTAAGCAGTACGACTCAAAGTCTTCTACCAAACTGAGCATTTACCAAACAGTCTTCCTGGACACACTTCATCAATCCAGGGTAATTCACAGGTATTCCAAACTCGGCACCAGTGGAAGTGTTCCAACTGTTTCTTTTTTTTTTTTTTTAAAACCATCAACTACAGCATTCAGGTGGTGGGCAAACGATGGCTCATTTCACCCCAATCGAAGAATTTCCCTACTTTTATTGTGTCCTGTCACCATCTTAACACTCCTCACACGTGATTATTAAAGACTCTCTTGACATTTAAAGCAGACGCACACTAATACTCAGTCATAGTCTAGGAATTCTACTGCTCCCAGAGTTAGGCAGGATTTTAAATTATGAAAAATAAGGTTTTGGTGTTCAAAGAAGGACATGAAAGTGAGAAACCTAGATACTCCCTCTCCCTTTCCTTGGCTCCAGTCACAAAACAGTGGTATTAGGAGACTCTGATGCTGTCAGGCCTTCTCTGTCCACAACAGGCTCTCAGCTTGTTCCGCGAGAAACATGAGGTTCTGTGAGGCTGTTACTGTGAAGAATTGTCCTGAGCACTGCCTCACTTGGGGTTAGGAAGGGCCAAAGAGGGATACATTACAGATAATATATTTACTAAAGTCTAGGAAGCTGGCGTGATCACAAATAGCACCACTAATGGTGGGGTAATCACTGCAAAGTCCACACAGTGATTGATTTGGGTGAGGATTAATGTTTACCTCGACTATTGAAACTTGTGCACTTTTCTCCCTGCTCACATTTTCTTAGAGCTTAC